CAATATACTGCTGGTTCTGGGTATGGCATGGGGAGGAACGGGTGACTACTTCAGAGATCTGTGAAAGATGATTAGGAATAGCAAAATGCTTGTCCATAAACAGACTTGATATGTAGGAATGTGGTTATATGCTATTTGTTGAAAACATGGTTTTGGCTGTTGCCTTAAATGCTTGCAATTGGCCTCTGGATGACTTGTCCTTGTTGTTCAAAAATGGAAGGCTTGATGATGAGCAATAATTGTTCAGGATGGTATACTTAGCATAAATTTTATTCCATGTCGATTTAATTAATAAGTAGTGTTTCAAATAAGTGAAAGTATATCCCAGGAATCTCTGGAGAATATCAGGACTTTTAAGCGCAAGGCTCTGCTAATATTTCTACTTAAAATTATCACACTGGTTCATCTAGAATTCGGTGTTAGAAGATCCCTCTCCTTTGCGGTTCTGAAGAGAAGTATGGACTTAACCAGCTTGGATTTGAAGTCTCCAGGTGAATCCATTACAAGGTGCAAGTGGAGAAATGATAATTTATCTCTTGTATCTTCAAGATCATTCAAAAATCTTTTGATTTTAGAGCCTGCCAAAATGTATTAAAGCCAAAGAACTTAGCAATTCTTTGAAACAAAGTTCAGGAACTGTGCAAGTGTTTCCTCTCTAGAGTATTTACAAAAGGCCGATTTCATTTTGATGCAGCATGCAGTTCTAGAAGTTTTCAGGCTATTGGCCTGTTGGAAGAGTTTCACCTGTTGGAAGAATTTAGTGCAGGACTTAAGACAATCATCACATTTGCAAGATGCAACAGCATTGGAGACTTCGGCACTGACGGTCTTCTAGCTGCTACTTTGTACAAAATGGTCCTTATAAAGGGAAGAAATGAGGCATTGTTTAAGCTGGCTCCCCTCATCCACCTGCTGTTGCTAACCCTCACTCAGTTTCCAAGTGCATCTGTTTTCAGGATCGATGTTCTTCAAATCACATGGTTGACTTGCAGTTTCAACAGAAATAGATTTGAAAGTATCTGTGGCTATTCCAAGTGCAAAGTATTTTTGCTCGGAGATTCCTCAATTTCTAAATATGGCAGTACTCATCATCGTGGCACACAGATATTTCCAAAAGTGAAGGCTACCCCTGTCTCCAGGACTGATGTTCATAACAGGACAAGGGAGGCATAATTAATTGGAAACTCTGCTAACCTTTTTCTTCCATATGAAACTTGTGGTTCCTGTAGTGTTTTGTTTCTAGTAGAAAGCACCAACCCTGTGACCTGTTTAATTTGCAACGGGTTAGTTTTTTTTAGAGTAAGATAGACTATGCTCTTGCATTGAATACCAAGTTGCTACCTTTTCCTGTAAAGGGAACATTCATGTGGATCTGCCAAGTCAAAAGAAAGAGAAGACTTCAATCAAACTGCTCTGAAATGTTATAAATTCATTCAAGGGGTCATTTTGGATATAACCATACTGTTAAAGGGGGAAAAAAAAAAAGAGAACAGAGTTTCTTAAAAGAATCTGGATGCAAAAAGCCTGGATATGGAGTCTGTAATGTAGTCAGAAAGTTTTGCTGTGCCTTCTGATTCCATTTGTTACAAAAAGAGTTACGAAGAGTGAAGCAAAAACCTCCTGATCACAAATCTTGTGAGCCTCTGCGTTCAGAAATGTGGCAAGGTGCAAACCTGGATCTGCTGGACTTGAAAAGAAAATGTTAGACTGATATTTTGGCGAAGTCCTAGATCCTCATGATAGAAAGAAATTATACCATCTGTGGAATGAAGTGGAGACACTTGGATACTGATGTTGTGGAAGATGCAAAGTTTACTCAAATGGATATTTAAAGCTGCTTATCTGAGCTACTCAGGAGTCTTGATGTTCATGCCTTAACAAGGCAAATTTATGCAAACTTGTATATTTGATTGTAAAAGAGAAGGCATTAAAACTTCTGTTTTCTGAGATTACTTGTCTCTTCTGAGATCTCCGATATTCTTTTGATTGTTCTCATGGAGTTGTGGGGCCAAGCTTTCATAAAGCCCTCTAAGTTTAATATTCACATTAAACTTCATATTTTTGCAGCTATCACTACAACCCAAAGGGATACTTCAGTGGAAATAGTGGTACTACGCACTCATTCTACCTGTAGTGCCCTAGTTCAGTCTGATATTTGCATGCATTTGGACCTAGCTCCGGAAATCTCATAGCAGCAAAATAGTTATTGCCAAGCCTGGTTCTGAGGATAGCCATCAGGATGCATGGGAAATGTGAAGAAATCTGTGAGTAAACTGTATCTCTGTCTGCAAATCAGCTAGCCCTTTAGCGAAAGTAAACTTCGAGGGCACTCATTCTTCTCTCCGAAGTTGTCAACAAGGTTGTGGTTACAGTAACTTGATAAAGTATCACTATTCAGTAGTCAAGAAAAATGAAGAAATTGCATCAGAAGATCTTTGTATTTAGAGGGAATGTGTCAAGTTGTGACGTGATGATTTATATGTTCTCAAAAAACTTACAAGTTGACGTTTTGGATGATGAAGATGCCCAGCATTTTGAGCCTGGTCAGTTACAGAAGCTCAAGAAAGAAAACTGGTCCTCCCTGAGTTATTTTGTTTAATCTTGGAGCCCTCAGCATGAGGGCTCTGTAAGGTGAGTTTTGGCTGATCTCCAGCAGTTTAAGGCATCACAGCTCCTGGCCATCTGCCTTACTCCCCTAGTAGGAGTAGCAGAAGGAAACATTTGCTTGGTTCTAAGAGGACTTGTTCAGCCTGGTAGGTTAATGCAGCCCATCTCTGCTGTTTTAAGCTGATGCTCAAGACAGGGAACTGCCCTTGTGGAGGTGTGAATGCATGTTCCCTTCTGCTACAGTGAGAACAGCAGGTAAAGGAAAAAGGCAGATAACTGGTAACAGTCATGTCTTAAAGGCTGCTGTTAGATCCGCTTGTACTGAAAGGGACTTTTAATTACACATTTAATTAAGAAATAAGGTAGGGATGCATGTGTATGAATGTGTATTAACATATGTATAAAAACAACAAAAAAGTCAAATTTGAATCCATTCAGTGTGGAAGCTTCTTCATGATCATTCCTAAGAGCTTCCATGAAGTTCAGTGAGGCTCAAGTCCTTTTAGTCAAAGGCAGAAGGGCTTTTTTTTTTTTCCTCCCCTCTCACTGCATGAAGGATTCAAGACTTTTTTTTATTATTATTATTGGTACTATAGAGAAGTAAATTTATAGAAGCATTCATATCCAGCAAATGCTGTTATACAGGAAAAGCAAAAATCTCCATGCTAAAAAGTTATACCCTCTGTGTGGTGAGTTTATTTTGTTTCATGTGTCTATCTTAAAGTATGAGTTACCTGGCTCTCCCACAGGTTCTGTGTTCCTTTGCAAAGATCCTTTTTGCAGTCACCCCTTTTTTGCATGGAGCTTGTTATAGCTGTCTTTACTGTGGTCCACAGCCATAAATGTTGAATATTATGGTGCAGATTTAGGAAGTGAGAGATGTGCAAATAGTAATGAGAATGAAAATGATGTAAAAAGCCTTGTTCATGTTACTGAAGTTGGCCATGGTACTCCTTGTTACTGTGTTTTGATGTTAACTTTGGAGATGATCCTTCAAAGTTTTAATTCTTCAGAATAAGAATTTTCTACCAGTATACAAGAAAGTAGAGATTGTAATTCTGCTTTACAATTTGTGATTTTTTTTTCTTATAGTTTATTTTGCTCTTCCCCTATTTCCATCCTCTTCACCCCTCCCTCAGCTCCCAAAAGGGAGCTGACAAGTTACGTTTAGATCACAAATCTTGGCACAAAAGAGGTTGTTTTTCTTACAGCACATTTGAGGTCTAGACGTAAATATTTATTTTATGTTTATATTTAACAAAACATTTACATTAGAGTTTCCAACCTATGTTCATTCATTCCTGAGACTTAAAATCAAATCCCCTGATTACAGAGAAAATGTGTGGGTATTCCCCAATTTCCAAAATATTAGTTGACAGACGAGAATATTAGTTGCAGGTAAGACTTAGAATGAATTTTAGTTCAGGTACCATGTTAGTAGTATAAACAGATTGTAGCTTAAATGAATAATTAAGATTCTTTTTGTTTTCATGTGCTTCTCAGTTCTATCAGTTCTACCAAATTATATGGCGTGTGGTTGACTCACAATTTTTCTGTATTCTACTCCTGATTATATTTTAGCACAAATTGAAGAGGTTGTTGCAGAGTCAAGCTCTTGACACTACACAAAGTTATTGTTAAAGTTTTTATTTCATGCATTAAAACTGTTATGGTTGTAAAGGGAAATTATCCGTTTTGTAAGTATATAACCGCCCCTCACCTCGTGTGTATGTATATATTATAGTATAGACTCCAACTCCTGGTATACTACTTTGCTTCCACAAGAAGCCTCATGTTGGAGTTGAAATCATTTCGTTCATTGTTCACGTGTTCCCCTGTTACAATATGCGAGTCCAGCTAGTACAGGGAACCATGCAGGGAAAACTTTTGTGTAGTCATTGCAGATCCCTGCTTATTTCATGTATAAGGAAGCTGGCTGAATCTGCAAAACAGAAACTTTTATAGTAGTATTAATCAAAACCTGTTATGAAGGAGGACCTCAGTTTTGACATTGTACACTTTTGCTTCAACCTTAAACTCATGTTGTTGTTGTTGTTATATTTTGCAGTTGCTTTATTAGATGGTTCTCTTGGAAATTTTACAGGGACTTTGCTTTCATGTGTCTCAAGGTTTTTTTTTTTTTTTGTGATTAGTTGGCATGTGTTGTAGGCTGCAAATAAACAACAATCCAAGAATAGAAGTATTAGGTAGAGAAGTTTTAGCTAGAGAAGTTTTATTATTATTTTTAAATTCAGTTAATTCTGTTTGTACACAAATATGCTGGGGGGCGGTGGTTCATTCATTAGTGGGGATGAAGGGGAATGGACATTTTTGCTTGGCCAGGTTTCCTATATATATAATTTATGTGTTTTTTTTTCTCTTTTAATTTGCAGATAAGCCTTTAAAGAAGCGAAAACAAGAAAACAAGCCACAGGAGGCTGGGGGTGCTACTGGAGGAAACAGACCAGCTTCTCAGGAGACAGGTTCTGCAGGAAATGGGGCAAGGCCTGCGTTGATGGTTAGTATTGATCTTCAACAAGCAGGAAGAGCAGACTCTCAGGCAACAGTAACTCAGGATTTGGACACCATCAGAAAACCTGAAGAAATTAAACAGTATAATGATGGGTTCGTATGTGTTCCCCAAGAAGACACTGGTGGAGATCTTAAACTTAGGCCTGAAAACCATCCTGATATCCTTAGGGAAAAGTCTGACTTTGAGGGCCAGAAGACAGATATTCAACAAAATGAAAACAGACAAATGGAATTCCAACAAAATGAGAGCAGGCGGTTGGAAAGTAAATACAATGAAAACAAACAGGTGGAAGCCAAGCATGAAAGCAAGCATGAAAGCAGACAAATGGAAGTGAAACAAAATGAGAACAGGCAGACAGAATCAAAACAAAGTGAGAGTCGACAAATGGAGATGAAACAAAATGAGGGAAAACAAAATAATGGTAAGCAGGAAATAAGACAGAGGCCCGAGACACCAAAACAGAAGACTGAAGGCAGGCCCGAAACGCCAAAACATAGACATGATAATAGGAGGGACTCCAGTAAACCATTGTCAGAGAAGAAAATTGAACTATCCAGGCATAAGCCAGATATGAAATCTGATCCCTCAAGGATAAAATCTGAAAGCAGATCTGATCCAGGAAAGCAAAGACCAGATGGGCGTTCAGTTTCTGATACTCCAAGGCGTGACCATGACAGCCTTAAACAAAGGCCTGAGGACAGAGGGGAGTCAGAGAGATACAGAGGAGACCCATCCAAGATTAGAAGACCTGAATATTTGAGATCCTCAAACAAAAGTGAACATGATTCTAAGCATGGTATTAAATCTGATGGTTCCAAAACTGAGAAATTGGAAAGGAAACATAGACATGAGTCTGGTGAATCAAGGTTTTCTTCTGGGGATCAGAAATCAAGACCTGACAGCCCTCGTATAAAACAGGAAAGTAAAGGAGATTCTAGTAAATCAAGACCTGATAAAACTGGTTTTAAATCACCTAACAGCAAGGATGAACGAAGGACAGATGGTAATAAGAGTAAAGTAGATAGTAATAAAGCACATGCTGATAATAAAGCAGAGTTTCCCAGTTATTTGTTGGGGGCAAGATCTGGTGCATTGAAACATTTTGTCATTCCAAAAATCAAGCGTGATAAGGATGGCAATGTCACTCAGGAGTCGAGAAAAACTGAAATTAAAGGTGAACAGAAGGATAAAGTAGAAAAGATTGGTCTAGTTGAAGATCTAAATAAAGGAGCTAAGCCTGTAGTTGTTCTTCAGAAGCTGTCTCTGGATGATGTGCAGAAATTTATTAAGGATAGAGAAGATAAATCAAGGAGCTCTTGTTTTAAACCTAACAAGAACAAGTCATCCAAATCTAATAAAGGTAAGATTATTTTAATGTTAATTACATTCTATTTTGCACATTCCTTCAGTTCCTTTAGACTTGCTATTGCAGTGGTCAATAATTCAGGTCAAACATATGATATTAATTTATATGTTTGCTTACATGATCATTTTAGGAAATTACACTGAAACTGTTCTCATTATCAGCTAAGAACTTGTTAGTGTTGGAAATCTTGCTCCAGTGTAAATGAAATGATTTATTTACTCCAGTGAAAGTACCTAATGAAGGAACACTTATATGATTTTAAATTGTACTTCAACTACAGTAGTTTAATCTGGTAATTTGCCTAATTAAACATAACTGGTATATGTATGATTTAAACAGATTTAAGTGTGTCTGTATAAGGTATTGGTACTACTATAGCTGAATCAGTGTGCTTTGAAAATGCTACGTTAGACCAGCTGTAAGACTATTTCATATTTTTAAATAGAGGTGAATGGTTTTCCAAGGAATGCTTCGACATGATGCAGTAAGAATACTGTTGCAAAATCCCTTCTGTTTTTTCTACACTATAAATATGGCAGTTTTGGGGAACCACCATGCTTTAGGCTGTCTGACAACAAACTTTTAAAAGCATCCTGTGTTTACTGCTTGACTCTGTTTCTATTTTAGAATTGAATCTTTAGGAGAATTCAAGCATCCTTGTATTTAAGGTCCAGTATAAATCCATGATGTGGGTAGTGCATTATTCAGCGTAGTTGATGGATTTAATATCTGATTGTTTGTTCTGCTGAATTTAATGTTTTTAATGATTACTATTCTTCTTGCTATTATAACTGTCTTTGCAAATGTCAGGTTACTTACCAGTCAAGGGTTGTTTTATTTTTTAGTTTTAGACTTTAGATAACTATGCATTGCAAGTTCTTACACTGCACATTTATTAGAGTTGGTGTGTTCCAAAATAAACAGATAGGTAGCAAAGGAGAGGATTTCAGGTTTATACAGGATTGTTTTTGAAGACATGGTTGCAGATATTCCTCATTGCTTAAGAATTTGAGATTATTTTTTCTTTTCTTGCAAGGTTATTTAATGAGGGATGATGTAGGAATCATCTTTGTGAATGTATAACATATTTATGTGCAAACATGATGGCTGTCATTTAAGTAATTTATTGTGATAGATCTGTGTCTGCTAACCAGATTGTGATTGACTCTGGGACTTGTAATGATTTAGCAGTTCAAGGTGAATGTCACTTTTATAAAGTGTCAGGTTCCCTGTTAAATATTTTCCATTTATCCTGAAAATACAAATATTTTATTTTCCTCTGAGGCTCAGAGCAGGCAAGATTTGAATTTCTAACAATAATTGGTTTCTAGAATTAGACATAAGATTATTACACCTCTGAAATCACCTAAATTTGAAGATTTCAAATAAAACCTTTATGCTCCTGACAGAGAATATTGAAAGTTTTCTTATGGTTTTCAGCACTACTCTTCAAAAGATAGCCTTTGAATTCACACCATTTGTTGTGCAGAAAATTTATAGAAGTTTGATCACCCTTTGAGCTGTGTACAGTGCGAGTATACTTTCTGAATTATTAAAATACATTTTTTTCTGTAATTTGCTTTGTCTGCAGTTGTTATACAGTTTATTTTAATAATGACTAATGGTTTTAATGACTTCTGTAATCGGCATAACTAGTAGCTGCGTCACACAAGCAATGTGCTCAGTTTGAACTCAGTTTTATAATTTCTGCAAAGTTTTTGTTTATTTTGTGTTTGCAAAAGTCATATGTGTGTCTTCCCCGCTACCTGGAGTATATTTTTCAGGGGAAAAACATTTTAAATGTAGTATCAGTCTCTCTTACTATTGTATCTTGGATAAGATTCTTGCAATGTTATTTGAAATAGGTTTCATGCAGAGAATTGTATAATTACATTTCACTTACAAATCAAGTTTTAGGTGTTCAACCAGGCAGATTCTGGAGAAATTGTCTTTATCTTTGGATTATTCATGTGTATTTCTAGTTTTACATGTCTTGTCTAGTTTCTTCATGAATTACTTACTACTTTTTAGGATATATTATACTGTATAATTGGGTGAACTAAAGTGTTTCTAAAAGCTTCCTAACTCATATAGATATCTGTTCGTAAGCCAAAGTCTGTTTGACAAGAACTGACCATCTGATACTGAAAAGATCCATGTCATTCTTCCAAAACCATCCTCCCTCCAATTGAGGGGAGTATGCTGTTTGTAGTGTTCCTCTGTTACTTAGAAAATTTCTATGACTAGGAAATGTAATTTTCATAAACATTCTATATTTATTTCATCCGACATCTCTTATTAGATAGTAGCAAACTTTTTCTAGTGTTGCCTTTAGTATCTCCATCCTACTTTTTCCATTCCTGTTGTTCCACGTAGCTTAGTATATTTTGTTTTTTTTTTTTTCCTTTGTTATCTCTTTGTATTCCTTGTTCTTCATTTTTCCTTTTTCATCCCTCCATTCCTGAAGGGAATATCTTTTACTAGCATTGTTACATGCAAATGCGTTGGTTTAGCTTTCATACAGTTTAACATAGTTTTAGTTCTTCATCTAGTTCAAAACACCATTTAGACATTGGGAGCGACTTAGGATATTTTATGTGCACTTTTAAAAAAGATAAAATAAATGCTTCGTATAATGAAAGTCTGTACTACTTTTAATAATATTTTTGAAAATCATATCTTTACTGGGTACATGGATAAGCCTTGCATGGTACGATAACAAGACAAAAAAACCTTTAATTAAAATTTTATACTTAAGTTTGAAAATTTGTTAAGATATTGTATGACTAGGAAGATAGCCACTGACTGTAGTGTTATAGAGACTGGCAGAAGGAAGACATTACTAAAGCAAACCTTCATTTTTTAAATCTACAACGTAAATTTCAGAAAGATTTTGCATTTGTACAAATTTTTAGCTAGCGTGTGACTGCTAAGATCGAATCATCCTCACAGTTCCTTTGATATTAACAGGGAAGAAGCAACATTTTTCTCTTGCCTTTGGTCCTTCAGCATTTCTCTGAAAGATGCGCTGTAGCTCAGAGGAAAGTTGCAGCAATTCTTTTTGCGGCGTTTTTATTGAGTGGTCGTGTGAAGTCTTGTGGCCTCTTTTCCCAAGTTGGAATGAAGTGTAACACACTTTTATTCATTTTTTTAAAACATCTATAAATGCCTTATTGTGCTTTTATTGGAAATTTGTGTTGCGGAAACCTCCCTGGAACTTTTCCATACTTTATGTTTCTGCCTGCAGTGGTGAGGTCATTTATTTGCTATACTTCCTTTGCAGAGCTTCAGTGAGTACTTCCAGGCTGCAGCTGATGGCTGTAGTGCTCCGCTACCTTGAAACGAGAACTGCCCCTTGGTTTCAGTAACTTGTTCTGACCATGACAGGAACTGTAATTGTCTGCCTGTGTGTGGAGTTGGTTTGTATGTGTTTGCAAGACTGAGTTTTCAAAGCAAGCTCCCTATATGTAATGCAAGTTTTATTTCTTGGATAACTGTTTTCTTTTTTTTTTTTCTTTTTTTCTTTTTTTTTTTTTTTAAGATTTGTATAGAAATATCTTTTGAGTTTTCAAATGTCACCTAAAAAGACTTTGTGGTGTTTAAAAAAATATATATAAATTGAAGAAACTAATGTCCAGTGCTTATCCTTCATAGCGTAGGTTGTTGTTATAGGATTTAATTATCTGTATATTACAGAACTTAAAGCACAGGTTTTCATAGCTCCCTATGAGTCTTCCTAACAACACTCTCCTGCCACGTTCTGAAATTTGAATACCAATACTCTGTATTCTCAAAGCTGCTCTTTGTACGTATTTTTATAGGAACAGCTAAAGATTTTGCTGTAACTTACTAGCCCTTAGTATCATAGTGTTAATACAGTGCTTCTAGATTTGCTGTTCTATTCTTGTGTGTTTCTTTTTAAATTCCAATTTAATTATTTGGAACATATAATACACCAGGTCTCTCCGCACTTAAATTGGAAGCAGTCTCCCTTGTGAAGCAAAGCGAGTGAATCGGTGAGGTGCGCAGCTTCCAAGGATGGCAAGAAAGGGAATTTTCCAGGACATACACAACTGTATCCCGGTCCTGGTGGCTCGGTGAGACCGCTTGTGCCTCACTTGTGCCTCTTCCCACTGTCTCCGGGCAGCACAGCAAAGCTACTCCTGTAGCTGCTTCCTACTTCCTTCCTGTTATTTCTTTTCTGTGATATTATTGACTACCTCTATGGAACTTAACTAGACTAGAACAGGAGAGCAGTCTGGTATCTAAAGATATTTTGGGTTTACATCCAATGTATCTGTTAGATATTTTAGTATATACTTTGTCCACTTATTCCTATTTACTTTTTTTTCCCCTCTCCTCCCAGTACTGTGAACAGGATCATTTGAAAAATATTCCAGACATCCTTTAATCAAAAGCTAAAAAGAAATTCTTTCTAATTTGTTAAATCCAATAGTCCAGAATGACTTTAGTTCTTAAGCATGCTTTTCATCAGAATAAATCATTTCTACTTACAGGGATGGTGTATCCAACGCCCAGGAGTTTGTTTCGTACTGCCTGGGAGGTTTTGGTATTGATTTTTCAGAAGTAGATGTTGGATAAACATCTTATGTTAATATCTGCTAGGCATTCAGCAGATGCCTACTGGTGTCCTTTCTTGTCTTGATCTGTTATCTTCACAAGAGTAATTTTACACGTCTGGAGGCTGCATAAGTTCTCTCTCACTCTCATGTTTGCCACTTCGGTGAATGTTCTGGCGCTTGTCCTGTGGATAGGAAGAGTGATCCTCACACATTGCACATCTGGTTCTTAACACTGGCCTGAACTTAGTTATCTTATGTGTTGGCTCATCTGAAATATGATGCTATTTCTATTTAGAGATTTATGGAGATAAAGGAGTGCTTTCTTAATTAGTTTACTTTTGAAAAATAACTTTGGCAACTGTAAGTGATAGAATTTAATAATCAATTTTTTCAGAGCAATCAGGCCTTTTG